ATGTCACATTTAGGTGACATTTAAGCATATTTCTTAAATATGCTTAAAAAAAGTGAAGTGCTAAGCAATTCAGTGAGACCCTGTCTCTAACTAAAATACAAAAAAAGGGCTGGGCAGATAAGTAAGAACCAAATGTCTTGATCAGAGAAAAGGGTCTGAGAAATTTACAAAATAGAGAAGGACAAATAAGAAACAAGCTGGGGAAAGGCTGAGTTTACATCCAAAGAAAGGAGATTGGAAACAAGTCATCTCCACAAAAGAAGACAGAGAACAACAGCTGTTGAGAGGTTAGGTAGAGGCTGCATTAGGACTTGAGTCAGAAAGTAGGTGCAGAGCACAGAGCACATGGATCTTGGATGTCTATGTAATGACAGTGGAGTGCAAGTATGAGAGTAATTTTTTACTGAGTCAATATGCAGTTTTTCTGAAGTGGGAAATGTCCAGCCGACCCACAGTGACCGTCCCATGTATGTAGTCCCACAAAGGGGGAACCATGTCACTTAGAGCATCTTTCACACCCAATAAGACATTTTCCTAGAAAATAACTTTATTTTTTGGTTATATTGTGAAATAATTCTTAATTTTTTATATTTTCCACTGAATCCCAAATATGTGATTCATATTATATTTTCCCTAAAAGCAGCATAGCTGAAAGCCTGGTGCAGTTTTTGTTCCTGATTCTGAGGTTATGATAAATGCATATCTATACAGTGACATCTCTACAGGAGGATGTGTGGTTAGCCCCATCCCCTCTGCAATACAATTTCTGAAACAGTCATTTTTCTTCTACCTATGAGAGGTCAGTTATTAAACCTACATTATCTAGACACAAGTAGGTATTTCTGAAGTACTTAAATATCCATTAGTACATTTGCCATGTTCTTCGAGATGAATTTGAGGCTAAGAAAAGAAAAAAAATCTCTTTATGAGACAGTCAATGGGAGAAGACTGACTCCTAAGGTGTAGGTTACAGGCAACATTCTTTAATCCTATGGTCTTCTTTGTATATCCCCTGCTGTCTCTATGGCTAAGAACCTTAATCATTCTGTTAACTCCTCACTTCTGCTGTAGGACTTGAAAGCATATCCTAATTAGTTATCAGCAAAACGTTTGAGATCAACTTTATTACATCAACACTTTGAGATGTTGGGGGAGAATAGTAACAAAAAAAAATGTCTCATAAATATACTCCAGCTCTGCCCATCTTGTCCCTGACCCACTCAATCTTTGACACAGCCACTCTGGTCTCACCATTTCCTCCTATACAGGCAAAGCTCCTGGGGCATATCCACAACATCATCTATTATTATTACTATGAAGTATTCATAACATTTACCATTTTAATCACTTTCAAGTATATAGTTCCTTGTATGCATGTCTTTGTGCAACCATCACTACCATCCATGCCATTTGTCTGAAAATACTGCCGTGGTAGGGACCAACAGTAGTGCCACAAATGGTTGAGTTGATGAAGGTTAAATTGCCAAAGCCTGCTTCATTTGAAATAAAGGTTGAGCAAATGCTGCTCTCCTTCTGACCAGCTGCCTGATGTGTTGATTAGACTTCAGCCACTAACTGGACCTGGCTTAGGGTAGGGTTCCTACAAATTCTTTCTGAGTGCTTCCTATTCCATTAACCAGTAAACCAATTCCAGTACAAAGTGTAGTGAAAGTTGAGCCCTTGCCTTGATCCAAGGGTAATCTGAAGCCTATTTTCTCATCTGTTTTCATTGACTTCTCACAACAACCCACTGAGGAAGGTTATGAATGCTGTTCCCATTTTTAAAATGAGTATACCAAGGTACAACAGAGGCATAGCAATTTGCATAAAATTACAGAATTGGTAGGTGTAATAGAGCTTGGTGTCAAATTCAAAAAGTCTGAGGTCACGATTTCATCCATGGTGTCATATTAAATGTGAAATTGGTCTGCCTAAGAACCAATGACATTATTTAATAAAATCATTTTGTCCTTACTCTTCTCGATAATTTCACAAATAAAATTGATTCACAGAAAAAAAAAAAAAGGGCTGGGGATGTGTCTCAGTGTCCAAGTGCCCCTGAGTTCAATCCCCAGTACCCGATCCCCAAAAAATACTTCTGTGGAGAGTCCCACCACAGACCAATTAAGTTAGCCTTCTGGGAAGGGGGTTCTGGGCACTGGTATTTTTAAAATACTTCCTGGCTGATTCTAATGTACATCCAGGGGTGAGAATTGCTCAGCCATGTGATTTAGACCAGCACTTCTCAAACTTAAATGTATATGCAAATTGCTGGCAGATCTCATTAAGTGTAAATTGGGATTCAGTAGGTCTGGGTGGGAAGGACCTGGGATTCTGCATTTATAACAAGCACCCATGTGATATTGATGCTGCTAGTCTGGGATCGCACTTTGAGGGGCAGGGTGCTAGAGGGCTCCAGGTAGGAATGCAGAAACTTTTGAGTGAGCCTGTCCCCTCCCTGCCAACCCCAGCAAGGACTACTACTTAGTGTCATTGGAACAGGCAGGCAGCCTGTCACTCATGGGCTATATGACTTGGGCAGATGCAGATGCATAAACTTTTGGATTCCATTATTGTACTGTCCTACCTTTTTCAGGCTGAGGAAGGGAGTAGTAGAGGAAGGAAGTGCCTGTCTACTTCTTTTCTGTTCAGTCTCTAGCCTTGAGTGACTGTGGACTGCAGTGGGATTTCAAGAGTTTGTTCCTGGCATGACAAAGAATGGCTTCTCTGCTTGGAATGGCCATACCAGACTTGTGACTCTTTAAGGATCACTGCCTCCTCCTGTGCCCACCTCTATGGAAACTCTGACTTGGTCCATCCTTTGGCACCTCCCTTTTGTTCTAATGACAGGAAAGCAGAGCTGGCTGCCAGGAGGGGCACTTAGTTCAGGGAACTGTCTTCTGCTGGGGGTGTGGCAGGAACAGGGGACAGGGAAGTGGTTGTGGCAGCCAGCTCAGCTATCCCAGCAGCAAAACCGTGTGCTTTAAAGCCTCACTGGCTGATTTCACCAGTTGCCCAGACCGCTGCTGGCCTGGAGACCTGAATCCTTTCTCAGGCCTGCATTGCCCCCTGCCAGATGCACTGAGGTACTGCTAGCAGAGCTCTGTCAGATACTTCCCAGGGCTCTCCAAGGTTCTGTTCCTAGATCTCTATCATACATTAGGAAGTTTCAGTAATGTATGTGCATATAGGTACACACACACACACAGATGTGGGTACATGCACAAACTGGGAAACCTGCAGGCATATACAGATGAACAATTCTGCACTAATCCTCCTAGATCATGGATAGGAGCAAACTTGGCTACAACAGACACTGGGATGGCCACTGAGTTGCTGCATGCTCTCATGGAAATGTACAGATGTTTAGTCCTGCCCCAATCCCATTTGCCTCCAAAGCCTTTGTGGGCTCCAGGGGTTACAGAGCTTTCTCTTCTCACTCTCATTCCTCATCCGTGTGCTACCTATGAGGTACCTGTTATTGCTTCTATTTTCCACCCTTTCCTACTTTCCCCTCCCTTGTCTACTTCCCCAGCATCTCTGAAATTTGAAGAGTTCTTTGTCTTATCAGTCCCAGGATCTCTTCTGGATTTCCTTGTGGGCGAGCACTACTGGGAAGAGGGAGCTCTTCCTGTCTTGGAAAAATCCCACCAGTCTCCTTAGAGTTTTCTGGTCAGCAAGGTCAGACTAGATTCTGGCTATAGGCAGTAAGGAAATTAAGGAAGTGTTGAGGGTAGGACTCCATGTCCAGAGCAGCTTGGCTGAAGCCAGCAGCCTTTCCCTGTCAACCCTACAATGCCAAGGTTCCATGACCCCAGCCCCCCTAGTCCTTTGCATCACATGGGTTGGGAGCAAATAGCCACCTTGGCAATTCCAGAGCTTCACTACTGGTATCTGGCCTACTCTGATGGCTGACAGGGTCTCTTGACTGGCTTTAGTCTAGCTGCATCTTTTCACTGAGGCTGGCACTAGTGCCCAGCTCTGTGCCAGGCACTCCCAGAGCAGAGGTGGGATGCTGACCCAGCCATGTCCCTCTAAGACTCCCAAGGCCAGTGCTATGTCAGCATAACATTTAGCACTGAGTTGGGCCACAAATAGCCTGAGATGTTGAGGAGAGCTGGGGCAGACCAAGCGAGGCACCCTTGGGAGGGGGAACTAGAACTTGGTGAGAGGTAGGGGAAGAAGACCACTGGGAAGCTACTGTCAGAAAGGCAGGAAGCCCAGGGCTGGGGATGTGGCTCAAGTGGTAGTGTGCTTACCTGGCATGCACAAGGAACTGGGTTTGATCCTCAGCACCATATAAAAATAAAATAAAGATATTGTGTCCACCTAAAAAGAAAGAAAGAAAGAAAGAAAGGCAGGAAGCCCAAACTAGAGTGGAATACCATCCCAGTATTTCTGAGAGACTATAGAGGAGTCCCTTCCTTTCTGATCTTATTTGTACATCTGGACATAGAAAAATGTTTGCAGGTGTCTGTGGATGTTCAAAGAGATTTGGTTATGGAAGGAGAATGCTGGAGATTATGCTGGAGGACGTTGGCTGTGATGATGAGAAAGGAAATAATAAGTATCATTGAACATCCACATCTCCTAGCTGGGCTACGATGTTCTACCCGGGGCTTTGGAAGTGGGTGGCTCCGTAAGGAAGGCTGAGGGTGGGCACAGCTGTGGTTTCTTATCCCAGCAGTATTTCTTGATTCCAGATGATCCCGGGAGTTGCTGCTGGCATTGGGTTCCCTTCCTGGTCAGGGGCTGGGAGAGTGGGAGGGGTTTTGGACAGGCAAGGAATGAGGCTCAAGAAAGCTGTGGCCAGGAGAGGAACCAAGGGTGCCCTCCCTGGTTATGACCTGGAGCCAATGGGCCAACCCCTCCTGAACTTCTCCTGCCATTTCTGGATCACCAGAACTAGATACGCCTATGCACTAAAGGTAAGGCAGCACACATCCAGATGGCTGGGTGCTAACCCCATTTCTCTGCCTCTTTCTTTCTCCCTGTTGTAGAAACTGAGGCCAAACAAGCATGTGAATGGCTCCGAGCGACAGGATTCCCTCAGTATGCTCAGCTTTTTGAAGGTAAGGCCACTCAATTGTTCCCCCTCCCCCATACCTAAACATTCATTATCCTCAGCTTTTCATCTATGAAATGGGCAAATCAGACTCTCTCTCCAACAACACGAGAAGCTGTGTATCCTGGGCCTGCTCAAATTTGTTCAGGGAATTGACTCCTGAAGGTAGAGCTCTGCTCTCCTGCATCATCATCTGTTAGATCACTCTCATCAGCCTCCACAAGCTCTGGTGTTGGCCACATTTGAAGGGATTTTTTTTATTGGTTGCTCAAGACAATAGAAGGGACTTGTTTTGCCAGGGACACTGTTTTGTACCACTCCTAAGGATGCCATTCACATAGACACAATGGAGTCTGCAACCTAATGGCTCATCCTGGACCTTACTTTGTCCACAGTGATGGCCTCACTTCTGTTTTGTTTCATCATTCTCCTTTTCTTAGAGTTCTTCATATTCAATGTTCCCTTTTCCCTCTTCTTTCCATACCCCCACGGCACCCTGGCTTCACCCCCACCTCACTTTGTCAAACTCACTACTGACCTTCATGGGGTCAAATTTAGTGGTCATTTCCCAGTCCTCTTATTCGAGCTCTCAACCGCATTCAGTGCAGGTGGCCACTCCTTCCTTTGACTTGCAGAATGACCTCCTCTCCTGACTGGCTCTCTGGCTGCTGCTCTCAGTCTCCTTAGCTGACTCTGCTTCCTCTGACATCTAAATGTTAAGGTGTCCTAGGGCTCAGCCTGAACCCTCTACACTCTCACCATTTCTTTTCCGTGAGGTCCTTGTCCAAGTGTATCTGTAGTCCCAATGTCTCTGTCTGGACCTCATTCCCAAGCTCCAGATTTATCTATTTAGCTACCAAATCAATATCTCTATTCAGATGTATAATAGGTATCTAGGAGATTTAAAAGGTCTAAAACCAAATTTCTGATGGCTATAACTCACTTTTTTTACTAGTACTGGGGATTGAACTCAGGGCACTCAACCATGGAGCCCCATCCCGAGCCCATTTTTCTATTTTATTTAGAGACAGGGTCTCGTTGAGTTGCATAGGCCCTTGCTAAGTTGCAGAGGCTGGCTTTGAACTCGTGATCCTCCTGCCTCAGCCTCCTGAGCTGCTGGGTATAGCTCACTTATTTTGCCTGAAACTCTTTCTAGTTTCTTTGCACAGCCTGCTTCTTCTCGTTCTTCAGGGCTCAGTGCAGAAGTCAGTGCCTCAGAAAGGCCTTTGCTGACCACCTCTCTCCAAGTAGCCCCCACCAGCCTCTCTCTACCCCATCATCCTGGTTAATGTCTTTCGTGGCATTTGTAACTCTGTTCTCTTGGTTTTGTATATAGTTTATTGTCTGTTTCTCATGAGAGTACTACTTCCTGGAGGCAGGGACCATTTCTGTCCTGTTCACTGTTGTGTGCTCAATACCTTGCATAATGCCTGGCATGAAGCCATTTTAGTATTACTCGAATGAGTAAATGGATGAATGAATAGTAAATAAATAGGCTTATTTTACCAGTAAGGTAGAGGACTGTGGGACTTCTCAGATTCTCTTTCCCCTTCTCCTAACTTGTTCCTCATTCCTCTCCCTTTCATAAGTCCCAGTGAGTGGGTTCCCAATGTTCTGACACTAAGGGGGCATGAGGTATTGTTTGAGTACATACTGGCCCTTCTGTCCTCACTCCCTCTCTACCCCCCACCCACCCCAGTTCACCTTGGGCCAGGGAAGAGGTTCCCTGTCTGAGCAGCCCAGGATTCAAACGAGACTAGAAGAATCCAAGATGGCTCTTGGCAGCTACCCAGGTTCTTAGGCCTGTGGTCCCCTATGAACCTGCCTGACTGACTGATGGGGTCCTTCAATCCAGCTCAACCCTCCTGGCTTTTCTCCCAACTGTCACAACTGTCAACTCAGAGTTCCATGTGTCCCCCTTCTTTACTCCTGACTCTTTTCCTTCTGCTTTGACTTCTCTTCCAGCTTCCTCTATTCCCTCCCCTCCCCCTGTACACTTCCAGCTCAAGGGCTGCAGAGGCTGGGTTTCTAATTTACTACTTGACTTACTTTGCTTCTCTCTGCCATACAGAAGGCTCGTTTCCCCTGGATATTGGCTCTGTGAAGAAGGACCACAGTTTTCTGGACGAGGACTCTCTGGGGGCCCTGTGCAGGTAGGGGGGCTAAGGGTCAGGGCTAGGAAACCAAGGGCCCAGCTTGGGGTTTCCTCATGGAACAATAAATCCCTTGTGCTGTCTAACAGAGGAGCCCAGGTTATTAACAAGGTTCAATTTCTGCTGTCACATTGCTCCTCTGTTTTCTGTGTCTGTGACACTCTCACATACCCAGTCACTCTAGCTAGAAAACTCAGATCTCTCCTTCCTCAGATTTAGTCTCTCTACTTATAGCAGCCCAGCCCTTCTCTGAAGCCAAACCATGATTTCTCCTTGGATCTCTGAAAGTAACCTTCTACTGGTCTCTGTATTCTACTCCCACCCTCTCTGGGTCCAGCCTCTCAACAGCCACCTAAATCACCTTTTTAAATCTCCAAGTGGGTGCTCCTCTGCTTAAAATTTGTTATTACATACATACAAAATTTCAAAGCTTTTTTTTTCAGCCATGACACTCGAGGTCCTTTGCCATCTGGCTTTTGACCTGTCTTCACAGCCTTGATCTTAGCTTTTCCTACTTATCTCCTACTGGAATGCACCCTCTGTATCTTGTCATAGACTCCTGAGAAGAGCCTGGGATAGGAGTTTCTGTTTTCCTCACCTTTAAAATCTCATTTCTATTCTCCAGGAAGCCTTTTCTGACTGCACCCCCCACTCTTCATGGGAGTTCCTTGTCCCACCCTCTGTCTGCTGTGTCTTCTGTCTCCTCTGTTCTTGAACCTGTCCCATTTGTGTAGTGGTTTATTTATTTATCTATAAGCTCTTGGAGGACAAAGGCCATGCTCGTCTGAGCATTGTGCCTGATGCTAAGGCCTTCATGGACACTGGGGCCTGGGGGAAAAGTCTTGATGGCTTGACCATGTGAAGTGGTAGACAATAACTTGATAGTGTCTTGGTAGGCCATGCCAGGCTTTCGGGATTGGGACCTTGGGTAAACACTTTCATTTCATTTCAGGAGGCTGATGACCTTGAATAATTGTGCCTCGATGAAACTGGAGGTTCATTTTCAATGCAAGCAGGTAAATCCTGGCAAGGGGTGGGACCTGTGGTCTTGTGGCACCTTGGAGGGAACCATGACATATAAACTACTTGTGAAACTAGCTTCAGGATCACAAAAGTCTGGGTTGTCTAGAGCAGTGCTTTGCCCCAATTCAGGGTAGGAATGGAGGAAGCTCCCTGTGTAGCAGACCCTATGAGGCCACTGGATTTTGATGAGCCTCATCTACAGGTGAGAGGATGTGAGCAAGTACCCTGGCCCATGGCCTTTTACTGCCCCAGCTCAGCCTGTGTCTCCCTTCTGGGTTTGTCAGTATTTTGACCTAGTGATGGCCCCTCCTCAAGGAAATCCACCTGCCTTCACTGCTTGGTTTGTGATGGCTAAAATTCATTGGATGGTCTCACCTGCTATCTGAAGCCTCATTTTCAATCAATTGAGGGGCTGGATTAGTAGCCTTCCAAGGTCTTTCCATCACTGCTGTTGTGGTATTACAGAAACTAAGAAGAATTTGTTCTATATACTGGATTGGACATAGCTCTGGAATGTGGGCCTTGTAACCCAGTCATTTTCTGGGTAACATCTTAGTTGGTTTCTTCCAGAACTTTCCCCCAAAAGACCTGCAGTAAGATGGGGCAACCAAGTTGCTAGATCCCTACCTATGAAGCAGGAGGCCCAAGGAGCCTAGTTGCAGCTCTGCCACTGACTTTTGAGTGACCTTGGCCAAGCCTCTTCCTCAGTCTGGGCCTCAGTTTCCTCTCCTTGCCAAGGACAAAATGAATTAGAAAATCTAAACTTCCTCCCTGGTTCCAGCCTCTTATGATTCTCATATAAGACTACAGCCTGAACACTTAGGAGGTTGTCACTGACTTACTGCATGTCACTGTATGACCTTGGTCATATGACTTCTTATTTGGAGGTGTCACTTTCCCTGTCTGTATAATGTGGATAGGTGAACTCAATGGTTGTTATAATACATCTGTGCTCCTTATTTGACCCTGGCTTCCTCCAGCACTCCCAGATCCAGCTGCCCACTCCTAGGCCATGTCCTCAACCATAAAGCAAGGGCCTTCACCTCACAGCCCCCTGAAACTTTGGAAACAGAGAGCAGAGCACAGGCTGGGGCTCGTGGGCTGGCTAGACCTTGCTGACCCCTCCCTGTGGTACCCTCCCCAGAATGAAGACTCAGAAGAGGAAGAGCAGTGCACCATCAGCACTCATTGGGCCTTTCAGCCAGAAAGCAAGCGGTGGTCACGCGTGGGTTCCTCTGACCTACTGGCTCCACCGAGCCCTAGCCTTCCAGTGACCTCAAGCTGTGAGAGTGTCCTCACTGAACTTAGCGCCACCTCCCTGCCAGCCATCACTGTGAGCCTGCCACCCGAGCCAGTGCACCTGCCTTTGGTAGACCATGTCCCTAGCACTAATGACCTGACCCTCCTCAGCCCCACCCAGGGCCAGAAGGTTCCCCAGGAGAAAAGCAAGAAACAACGTTCCCGAAGCTTTCTCAAGTACCTTGAGTCTCTGAGGCGGAAGGAAAAGGGTGACAGCCGGCAAACAGGGCCTGAGCATAGCCCCACCACTTCAGAGAGGGCCCCCAAAGCCTCATCTTTCCGCAGTTGCCGTGGCTTCCTCTCAGCTGGATTTTATAGGGCCAAGAACTGGGCATCCACCTCAGGTAGTGGCAGTAATGGTGGGACTCGAGAGGTTTGGCCTGTGGCCACGTACCGGCATCCTCAGCAGGTACACCGGGGTAACTACCTGGTGCATGTGCCTGGGGACCATAAACCAGGCACATTCCCTCGCTCTCTGTCCATTGAGAGCCTGTGTCCAGAGGATGGACACCGCCTGGCAGACTGGCAGCCAGCTAGGCGCTGGGGCTATGAAGGCCGCCGGGGTTCCTGTGGCTCAACAGGCAGCCATGCCAGCACCTATGACAACATGCCTGAGCTGTACCCAGCTGAGCCTATACTGGCTAGGGCTGAGCCTGAAGATGAGGAGGAAGGTGGGGGCAGCTATGCCCACCTGGATGACATCCTCCAGCATGTGTGGGGGCTGCAGCAACGGGTTGAGCTCTGGTCCCAGGCCATGTACCCAGAACTGGAGCCTGGAGATAAGGAAGAGGAAGAGGAGGAGGAAGAAGAGGAGGAGGCTACTTCATCAGTAGAAATAGCCACAGCTGAAGTCAAAGGACAGGCTGAGACTATGGCCCAGGCAGAAACTCCAACCCTTGGAGAGTCCCTCTCCTGGATCCAGGCCAAAGTCCAGCCAGTAGGACCAGCTCAGGCCCCAGATGAGGTCGAATCATTGGCACAGGTAGAAGCTGAGGCCCCAGCCTGGGTCCAGGACAGTGAGCAAGAGGTGAACTCAGGTGGGGAACCCACCTCTGCTTCCAGTCTGTCTGTAGAAGGACACTCCATTTCTGACACTGGGGCCTCTTCCACTGAACTTGATAGTAGTGGGAACTCCACGAATGAGACGGAGGCTGCAGGGTCTCTGGTGGGACTCCAGGCACCAGTGCCCCGTGAACGGCGTGATTCAGGCGTTGGGGCCTCACTTACCAGACCCTGCAGGTAGGAATTTGGGGTAGGGTTGTGGGTGGGGATCCCTGACCCCCCCCCCCCCCGGTCTCTCTCTCTCCCTCTACCCAGTCTCTAATTTCTTAGTCATGAGACCCAGGAGCAAGTTCTTGCAGGTTGGGAGATCACCTCCAGAGAGCTAGTCCTGGAAAATAGAAAGAGTACAAGACTTAGGAGTTCAGACTGTTAGATTCAGGGTCTGCCCCTGTTGTGACCTTGAGGAAATAAATGGTAGCTTCTCTTTGGGTATCGGTTTCTTTATCTGTGCAGTGAGGGTGTTAGAGGAGATGTTCTGTGATCCTCAGCTCTGCTACTGAGGGTTTCTTGGAGAAGCTCCTTGAGAGGACTGCAATGGGTAGAGGCTGGCACTGCTTTTTGGCACTGCATGGGCCTGAGCACAGTGCTAGCCTCCCTGAGAGCTCCTTGGCCCCTGGGCAGACCTGGTAGCCAAAGTGAGCTTTGTTCACCCTGGGGTCCAGCAACAGTGCTGAATATGGTCTCATCTCTGTCTTATCTTTTCTCTGTGGAGGAAAAAAAAAAAGGACCAGAAGAACACAGCCTTTTCTAAGGATTAGCCAACTGCTTCTCCAACCTTCTCTGCCCCCTTTACCCCCACCAGGAAGCTCCGTTGGCACAGCTTCCAGAATTCCCACCGGCCCAGCCTCAACTCGGAGTCGCTGGAGATCAATAGGCAGTTTGCCGGCCAGATCAACCTCCTGCACAAGGGCTCACTGTTGCGGCTCACCGCCTTCATGGAGAAGTACACTGTGCCCCACAAACAAGGCTGGGTCTGGTAAGTGGCTCCCAAGCCATGGGGAGGGGAGCCGCTGGCTCATGTCTAGCCCCCTGGGGAGGCAACCCAGAGGTGGGTATAGGCAGGCAAAGCCCACAGGCCTGGGGAGTGGTGTGCTGTGCTAGGAGGCTGGAGGGGCCATGTGAAGATGGATGTGGGATGGGGGACCCTGGATTCTACAGCTGTCCTTTCTCCATTCCAATTTCTCCATTCCTATTTGGTTGTCATGTTTTAGAGAATTAAACACCCCCTGTGGCTCTGTGTTGTCCAATTCCTTTCCATGGTGATTCTTCCATGTTCTGGTCCTGCCCCATGTGATTGGCTCTGTACCCTGCCAGTGTCAAGGAATGCCATTGTAAAGGCCAATGGGACTAGTTGCCCTCCTCCCCCCCCCCTCTCTCTCGGCACCAGGGATGGAACCAAGGGTGGTTAACCACTGAACCACATCCCCAGCCCTTTTTTTCTATTTTATTTAGTAACAGGTCTCGCTAACTTGTTTACAGCCTTGCCAAGTTGCTGAGGCTGGCTTTGAACTTGCAAGCCTCCTGCCTCAACTTCCTGGGTCTCGGGGATTAAAGGCATGCACCACCACAACCCAATTAATTGTCCTTCTCTAAATGTGCCATGCACCCCCCCCACCCAACCTTTGCTTTTGTTGATGCTGTTCTCTCCACCTGGAATATCTTTTCATCATTTCTCTGGGACAATTCCTTTCTGTCCTTCCAGAGCCCGCTGTATTACCAACTCCTTTCTAAAGCCTTCCCTGACCTGCTAGGTACAGTTTCCCTCCCTTGTGAGTCTTTCCCTAAGTTCTTGCCCTACTACTTGGCCTACTACTGGACACATGAATTGTCACTGCCTATTGACACAGTTATCACCTTCACTGGACTGAGAGCCCCCAGTGTCCCTGTGTGACTCCCTCAGGCTGGGCCCAAAACAGGCACTCAGTGAGCGTTGCTCCTGGGGATATGGTATACTTCTTACCTTCCTCAGGCATTACTGAAGCTTCTGAGACTGGACAGTCTCTAAACTGTGCTCCTACTCCATGATCACTTGTCACTCCTCTAAACAGGTCAATGCCCAAGTTCATGAAAAGGAATAAGACGCCAGACTATAAGGGACAGCATGTATTTGGGGTACCACCCCTTATCCATGTTCAGCGCACAGGCCAGCCCCTGCCACAAAGTATTCAGCAAGCTATGCGCTATTTGCGCAGCCAGTGCCTGGACCAGGTGAGCCGTCTGGGGAACCTGCAGAGAGTTGGTAGTGGGAGTGGAGCTGGTAGAGGCCCCCAAGGCTCAGGAGACGGGGAGGGAACTGCTCTGACCTTCCCCCTGGGCTGGACTGGCCTACCAGAGACCTGTACTCTCCTCAGCAAGAATGGAGCCAAAGCTCCCTTCCCCTCCTTAGTTTGAAGCCCTCTGCCCAGCTCTGTGGCAGCCTCTTTCTGCCCAAGGTTCACTAGTCCCCATTTGCTAGGAACTGCCTTAGCCTGAGGTTCCTTTTCCCTACTCTTATCCCTGAAGCCCATCTTTCTATTCAGTCCCCAGGCTGTAAAAAGCCTTCTCTCTGGTCTTGCCATTTATCTCCTCCCCTGCCCAGATGGAAGCCTCCTAGGCTTCAAATTCTCTAGGGTAATCTGTGCTCCTGACACCCAGACCAGGACTGGCTCACAGTTTCCCTCCTTCCCTATACATTGCCCTCCTTTCCTCCTTCTTCTGCATGGGCCAGGTGGGCATCTTCCGCAAGTCTGGGGTCAAGTCCAGGATCCAGAACCTGCGCCAAATGAATGAGAGCTCCCCTGACAATGTCTGCTATGAGGGCCAGTCTGCTTATGATGTCGCTGACCTCCTGAAGCAATATTTCCGGGATCTGCCTGAGCCCATCTTCACCAGCAAGCTCACCACCACTTTCCTGCAGATCTATCAGCGTGAGTCACTTCTACCTCAACCCAAATAATTGCCCCATTCTAACTATTCCTGACTTGGGGCAGAGAAATCTGGTGGCCAGATCCATGAGCTTATTTACTCTCTGGAGTTGGAAAAGCACTTGGAGAGACACCACATTCTGTTCCCCCAAACCCATTATATAAAAGGGTAGACTGAGGCCATGAAGACAGGAACAGACTTACCTAAGGTCACACTGCACATTGGGAGCAGAACTAGATATAGCCCCCAGAGACATCCTAAAGCCTGTCTTTCCTTCCATCTCAGTGGCTCCCCTGGGAACTTTTGTGTATTCCTAGAAGCAGAAGGCTTGCTGCCAGTGCCTCTGGGGAGGTAAGGAAGGCCCTTCTGTTCTTCCTTCCTTACAGTCCTCCCCAAGGATCAGTGGTTGGCAGCAGCACAAGCTGCCACCTTGCTGCTCCCCGATGAGAACCGAGAAGTGCTACAGACACTGCTTTACTTCCTAAGTGACATTGCCTCGGCCGAGGAAAATCAGATGACAGCTGGCAACCTGGCAGTGTGCCTGGCACCCTCCATCTTCCACCTCAACGTCTCCAAAAAGGATAGCCCCTCACCCAGGTGAAACAGGGCAAGGGCATGGCAGGGCCAGGCTGGGAGGGTTTTTGGTCACACTGGACTCTTGGCCTTTGATGGCTCACATTGCTGTTTTCTGGCCTTACCACAAGGGGACAGTGTGACTTCTCAGGGCCCAGGACTGGTTAGCCACTGTGGAACAGGGCCTTTCCAAAAAAAACAGGGCCTTTCCTGGGAGCTGGAAGCCAGCCTGTCAGCCATCTTGTCTTGTTCCTTGGTACCATCCTCTCCTCTCTCCCCCTCCCTCCAGGATCAAGAGCAAACGCAGCCTGGTTGGTCGGCCAGGTCCTAGGGACCTGAGTGAAAATATGGCTGCCACCCAGGGCCTATCACACATGATCAGTGACTGCAAGAAACTTTTCCAAGTGAGTAAGCGCAGGTCATGGTGTCTACTTACCAGACTTTTGAGAACCATTCAGGCCTGACCTTTGCACCCCAAGTCAGGGATAGTGCACAACCTGTCACAGATATTTCCAGTAGCTCCCTAACTAGGATTCTGCTTAACCTCACTGCCTCACCACTGCCCTGAACACAAACCTGACAGACCTCATGGGATCTCCTGCTCCCCATGGCCCCCATCCCTGTGTGTTTGTGCCCTCTCAGGTGCCCCAGGACATGGTGGTGCAACTGTGTGGCTCCTACAGTGCAGCTGAGCTTAGCCCTCCCGGCCCAGCCCTGGCTGAGCTCCGTCGAGCTCAGGCCGCAGGAGTGAGCCTGAGCCTCTACATGGAGGAGAGTGTGCAGGAGCTGCTGCGGGATGCTGCTGAGCGCTTCAAGGGCTGGGTGAGCGTGCCAGGACCCCAGCGCACAGAACTGGCTTGCAGGAAGGTAGGCACCACGCTCCCCATAGTTGCCATGGGGCTGGAAGCTGGCATTGTGTAGGCAAGAGGGCTGAGGAACCTAAAGGAAGGAATCATGGGGAGCTGCTATGCCAGCCTCACTGGGCTTGGTCCTGATACTTAGAGGATGTCAGCCAGCTAAGCAAGTACCTTAAGGAATCAAAAACCAAGTAAAACCCAGGGGTCTCTCTCAGGGACCACCTTCCAGAATTCTTTACCAGAAGCCCCATTCCAGGCACAAATACTCCCTGTCCACAACCAAGTTGAACTTGCACTTCCACCTTTGTGTGTCTGCTTAGGGCAGCTTTCTGACTTGACTAGCCTGCTCCCAAGCATGCCATTGCTAATGCTATCTAAGTGACATTCTTAGGGGGTTGCCCACTTGTCTCCCAGTCCCTGGATCTTGAACAACCTGTGCTGGGACATGTGACATTCTCTAAGTCCCCTCCTTCATCCAGAGCCTTCTGTCATGCCCCAGAGTGGAGCTAATTTTTTCCATGCCCCTCCCAGCATTGGGCCGCACTCTTTCTTGGCTGCTGTTTCTGTGTAAGATGGCAAGCTTGAAGTTTCCCATATATAAAATTGTCATGATGAAGCCTTCCTTGTGGAATTGGGGATGGAGGGACCTTGCACAGTTCCTGGTACATATAAAAGGCTGTGTTAATGACTGCTTTTGCCCTGGCGCACATATTTTACTTCCCATGCCAGATGAAGAGTCCCTTGAGGAAGATCACTACCTTCTCTTCTTGCTCACTTTTAAAAATTCCAAGCACTATTCCCAGTCATAATAAGGCCCAATAAACCTCTGGTAATGTGTGACATGTCATCTCTTTGTGTTCTTGAGAAGGCTGAGAAGTAGGAATCCAGAAAAGACAGGGAAGACAGAGCATGGGCCAGCCTGCCTGGGCCCAGCTAGGGTTAGCCGGGGTGAACTGCAGCCTTCCTTTGTCAGGGGCTGGAGCAAGGGAAACCCTGGGCCCTGCGGCTGGAGGCATGGCTTGCAGGATGGAGAAGGAGTTCTCTGTCCCTGACAGCTGGCCCTATCCCTGCCACCATGGTTTGCAGGCACCAGACGGGCACCCGTTGCGTATGTGGAAGGCGTCCACAGAGGTGGCAGCCCCTCCAGCTGTAGTGCTACATCGTGTCCTACGGGAGCGGGCCCTTTGGGATGAGGACCTACTTCGAGCCCAGGTGCTGGAAGCCTTGATGCCAGGGGTGGAGCTGTACCACTACGTCACCGACAGCATGGCACCCCATCCTTGCCGTGACTTCGTGGTGCTCCGGTAAGGGGCTCTAGCTGCCATCCTGCTGTGCTTGGGGGACCCAAGAGGTGGGGTGGGAGCCAGCACCAGGAATCTGAATGGGTGTTCTGTCCCCACAGAATGTGGCGCTCTGACCTGCCTCGTGGGGGCTGCCTGCTTGTCTCCCAGTCCCTGGATCCTGAACAACCTGTGCCGGAGTCAGGGGTGCGGGCTCTCATGCTCACCTCCCAGTACCTCATGGAACCTTGTGGCCTGGGACGCTCGCGCCTCACTCACATCTGCCGTGCTGACCTCAGGTACCAGGCCTGGGATGCCCTGCCTCAGCCCTGTGGCCCTGACCTCCTCCCTTGCCTCTGAGCTTACTTTATGTCTCATGCAATTGATTCCAGGATGGAGATCAGGTCCCCAGGTGGGGATGATCTGGGTGGGGGTCAGGTCCTTTATTCCTTCCCCTTGGTGAAAGCTCATGCCTGGTTTCTTCTGCCTTTCTAGGGGCCGTTCTCCTGACTGGTACAACAAAGTCTTTGGGCACCTCTGTGCTATGGAAGTGGCAAAGATCCGGGATTCCTTCCCCACGCTGCAGGCAGCTGGCCCTGAGACAAAGTTGTGAGGCTTAGGCCAGCATGGCCCAGGCCCCCTGTCACCAAGGAAGTGAAAGGGAATAAGAACAGACCCCCCCCCCCTCGCCCAGGCTGCAGCCAGCAGCAGAGTTAGGCCCAGGTGGCTCTGGCTGCCCTGCTGCCTTACTTCCTAAAGTGCCTCTGCATGCACAGGCCAGGGTGGGGTGGGGAGGGTTTAGGTGTCCCCCTCCACTCTATCTTCATGCCCAGCACTGCATTCTGCTCTCCCAAGAGAAGACAATCATGTTAGTAGCAGGAAGACTGCTGCTGTCCATCACCTGCCCAGTAAGCCACAACAGTCCCCTACCTGAAGGGAGAAAGAGGTCAAGAGCACTTATGGTCCCAGCTCTCTGCCAGACTGAGAGACCAAGCCATCCTGTTTGGTGCTAGGATCCTTTTGAGGTTGGACAGGAGGTTCTGGTCCTGCCTTTGGGGTCAACATTGGCCCTAAACTGGCCATTCCAGAAATGGAACTAGAACATATAGGCAGAGGGGAAGAGCATGGGACAGCCCCAACCACCATAAGTTGTTTGATTTATGTAAATACGATGCCAATTTTTATGAGGCTGATTTAGAGTGGGCACTGACAGGCCCCTAGTAGGTGACATGACGATTTGGGATAGCTTGAGACATGAAGGTGAACAACCTTCCTTTCTCAAGTCTCAAGAGACCAATGAACCAATCTCCCTTGGCTTGGGCTCCACATTTTATCTGCCACTTCCTGGGGTCCCGGGTACCCTTTGACTGTGCACTGCCATGTCTGCAGAGTAAACAAGTTCACTCCCACCACACAGGCCAAGTCAAAGTACTTAGTGGCAGAAAGACAAGTATCTATGTCCCCATCACTTTTGCTTATGGTAGTGGGCTAACATAATAGCCCTTTCTTGGGCCAGTGAGATGGAAAGGCCCATTTTAACCAGCTGGGGCTTTATCCAAACCTCATCAGTCCTACTCACTGGCCAGCTTTGCTCACATGGAGATCCAATTGCCATTCAAAGACCCACTGGTGCTTTATTTTTCTTTCTGCTAAATAAATTGGAGTGGGATGGGTCCCAGCCACCATTGTAATTTTTGAGCTTATTTTATTTGTACCTATAAATACTGTACAGTCAGAATATATATGTGTATTTGTATGTGTACATATAGATACATATATACATATATATGCACACACATATATACATGCATATATATATATATAGTTTCTCCTAAATGGGTTATAATCTCTAAGTGGGAGCAAGGGTCTGGAAGGTCTCAGGGCAGGACAGTTCCTATGGGAGGGGAGAGGTGGAGAGCAGGGTACAGAAGAATCCCTTGGCAGAACAATAAAGCATTACTAGAGATGAACTCTGGCTCTGTGCTGTCTTTGCTGAGACAACTGGTTAGGAACTGGGCATGGGTTGCACTCAAGTTCACAGGTCAGGAGTGAGCATTTACCTCACCACCTCGCAAGCCCCAGCTCATTGATTTTAGGACTTGGGTGAGGCTGTGGGAGCAATGAGGAGGGCCTCAGTTCTTGTCCTGAGGAGGTAATGGGGGAACAAAACTTGAAAAAGCCAAAGCATGGGCAGACACTGCACACCCCATCTTGTGACCTGGCTGGCATTCCCAGATGCCATGTGGGTAGCACCCTTGTCAGGGAAAGCTGCTGTCAACAGGCAAACATTCTGGGGAGAGCAATTGTTTAACACCAATGCTGGGTATCCTTAACAGTGGCCCTAGGAAGAGATGAGCCTGGGTAAACTCCTTCCTTCCTCCCTCTCCTACACACCACCCATACAAAGGTTGAAGTGGAAATGGCCACAAGAGGCTTGGGGTCTCTGTTCTAGCCATAAGCCATGCATATCACTTAGCCATGAGGTTACATTCTGAGAAATGTATTGTTAGGTGATTTTGTTGTACAAATGTCATAGAGTGCACTTACACCAACTAAGAGAGCTATGACATCACTAGGGGCTATCTTATGGTACCGCCTTCCTATATCCAGTCCATCGATGACTGAAGCATTATACAGTACATGGTTGTATAGGCTTCCTGGAGTTGAACTTGGCACCACTTGGCACCACTTCTTACTACCTCTGAGACATTATATTATCATCTCAGGTAGTTACATAGCTAGTTACCCAGGTGGCCAGGCTAGCTACACAGTCTGCCAAGGTGTGTGTCCATAACTCCTCCAGTGGGTCTCAAACTTTCATGAACATCAACATCACCCCGAGAGCCTATTACAACATGGATTGCTGGGTTCTACATCCAAGATTTCTGATTTCATGAGCCTGGCATGGAGCCTGAGAATTTGCATTTCTGACAGGTTTATAGGTGATGCTAATGCCATTGTTTCTGGCATCAGCTTTGTGTTTCTGTGACAAGATTACCTGAGAAAAACAACTTAAAAGAGAAAAGATTTATTTTGGCTAATGGTTTCACTTCATGGTTTATTTTGCTCCATAGCTACAGGCCTAAGGCAAGACAGAACATCATGTAGTGCTCACTTCCTGGCAGAGCTGAGAAGAAGAGAGAGAAGGAGATAGGGTGGTGAGAAAGGACTGGGGATGAGACATATCCTTCAAAGATATGCTCCCAATGATGTACTTCCTTCAACTGGGCCTACCCCAAGAGCTCATTTAGCTAGGAACACATCAGTTTCACCGATGAGGTCAAAGTCTTCATGATCCAATCCTTTTATAAAATCCCCACCTCTGGACATTGCTGCATTAAGGACCAATCCTTTGGTTCTCAATGAACCCTTGGGGGACATGGACCCTTGGGGGACACTTTATATCTAAACCATCCAGGCACTATACTTCAAAATCCACTGATCTTGAGGATTTTGATGATAATTATGCAAACTCCACTCAACTGAATTCAAATCATGTGTTTGAAATTGCCCTCAGTCCCACACACAGTACCTCCAGGCCAGGGGCCCAAAGGCTCAAAGTCATTACCCCTTTCTAGCCATGTGTCTTACTTACCCTCACTGAACTTCAATTTCCTCATCTTTAAAATGAAGATAATACCACCTTATGAGGAGGTTACGAGTATTCAACTACTTACCAAGTCCTCATGAAGTGGTAGGTCACCTTGATGCCATTGTCTTATTAATAATTCTACACATCTTCCTTTGTTACATATAACAGAGCCCACTGCTAGGTGTGGGCAGAAGTGAGCTCAGGAAGGAAGTTCTGCAGGAGAGAAGGTCAGAAAGGGTACTTCCTGTATCACTCCTTAGTCTTTCCAGAGAATCTCCTTCCAAGATCCTCCTCTATTTCATTGGTGACTGTTTAATTTTAATAAGGCTTCCCAGCTGGGTGCAATGGCACACACCTGTAATCCCAGAGGCTCAGGAAGCTGAGGCAGGAGATCAAGAGTTCAAACCAGCCTCAGCAAAAGCCAGGCACTAAGCAACTCATTGAGATTCTGTCTCTAAGTAAAATACAAAATAGAGCTGGGGGTGTGGCTCAGTGGTCAAGTGCTCTGAGTTCAATCCCCAGTACCCCCAAAAAACCAAATAAATAAGGCTTCCCATTCCTTTCCTGGAAAACTATAAGAGTTTCAAATTGTAATTCATATGTAGCCAGGCAGTTAGTACAGATAAGCAAAGCATGCTGAGTAAAGGCCATAGGAATTACAGAGTGCATGTCCCATATAAATTGGGTAGAAGGTATTCCCTTCCCATCCATTATAGACAAATAGGAATATAGACCCAGATCCAGATAACTACTTCTGCTTTTTCCAGGGGATCTGGAAGTCCAAACATTTATATAAAATCTGCAGATTTTAATTTGAAATGATTCATTACAAAATAATTTAAGCTAGAATATAACAGGCCAAACACACAAGCATGAATAGCCCCTGATTTGCACCTAATACTCCTATTCTAGAACCACATTTACAAAATGATGTAACCCTCCCCCAGAGTCATGGTCAGACATGCCATCCATCTTGGACCCAGGTCCTGTGCAGAATAAGGGGCTGCCCAGTACTTCCCCACACTCACAGCACAGAAACCTAATGGCTATGGCATGTAGGCACAAAGCAGGAGTGCATACACACTATGGAATATTTGCCCACATAGGTGATACAGGCAATAATCCAGACAAGGATGTGAAGAAGCAGGTTCTAGAAGGATGTTGTCTGTGTGGGGCTTTCAGCTGTGCACAGTGGTGGAAGCACTAAAGTAACTATTTGGGCTAAAGAAAGATTGAAAGCTGGGACTATGGGCAAAGGGAAAGTGGCAGTGCTAAGAGCCAAGCTTTAGTAGAGTCCACACGAGGGCGCTGCTGCTCTGTGTGGGAATGTGGCCACAGGCAACAAGAAGCTGCCTGGATGCAACCCCAGCCTCTACCCCTGCCTCCAACTCTTCTCAGTGTGCCCTAGTGTCTATTCCTTTTTACTTCACATGGTCCCCCAGATCCTGTCCTTTCTCTTGTCCCCTTAGCTCTCAAGCTCTTGCCCCCTCCATCACAGAACCCTTGAACTTCTACCCCCTTCCCTCATCCAGCTCATTCCTAGGGATGGGAGAACTTCTTTCCAGGTAGAGATTTACTGTCTAGTTCATCTCCCAATTGCACAAGTGAATATATGTCAGAACAGGCAAGGGAAGATAGTAGCTCAAGGTCATGAGGCAGCAAGAAACAGTGCTGTGATGGAACCTATGTATGTTGAGATCCAAGTGTGCCCTTTCCCATGTGACAATTATGGATTCAATAATGTGTGTGTGTGTGTGTGTGTGTGTTTGAAGGTAATAAACATGTAGGGAAAATAAAGCAGGAAAGGAGAATAAGGAGTGTTGGGTGGGCAGTAGTGGTTGTTCTTTTAATAGGGCAATTATAGGATAGGGTGACATTTGCTAAAGGTGAAGAACAAGAAGACCGGAACCATATGAAGACACAACATGGCAGGCCTTGGAGGGTCAGATGTGAACAAGACTATCATATACGTGGATGCTAACACACAAAAAGGGGGAAGGAAGAACAGAAATTCATTGGATTAGATAAAGGGGAAGGAAGAGAAGGGAGGGAGGATGGGAACAGGAAAGACAGTGGAATGAATCGGACATAACTCTCCTATATTCATATATGAACACATGACCAGTGTAACTCCATATCATGTACTGCTACAAGAATGAGAAGTTATACTCCATGTATGTGTGATATGTCAAAATACACTCTACTGCCATGTACAACTAAAAAGAACAAATTTAAAAAAAGAAGACTATCATAGTGATAGTACCTGGGCAGGGGGTGATGGCTCAAGTCTGTCTGGAACAGTTCACACAGGCCCACAACATGGAGAAAAGCTCTGTGCCTTTCCAACATACTCAATGTGAGGCATGAGAACACAGCTGCAAGTGAATTGGCTTCTCTGAATCTAAAACTTGCTAATCCAGGCCCTGGCCTTCTGGATCCAGCTTCCAGGAAATGTGATCAGGTCCCATGTTTGGGGGAAAAGGAGAGAAGGCAGGTTTGGGGGCAGAAGAGTGGGTGTCAGAATGAAAGCAGGACTTGGGGGTGTGACACCCCTCTTTGGGTGCGTGCATATGTACATTATTTCTGCTTAGTGTCTGTTATGGTTTAAATGAGTCCCCCCAAAGTTCTTGTGTTGAACTAACCCCCAAATTCATATATTAATGGTATTTGAAGGTGGGCCTTTGGGAGGTAGTTGGGATTTGATGAGGTTGAGAAGGTGGGACTCCCTTGATAGAATTAGGGGCTTTATAAGATGAACTTGGGTGCAGGGACACACACCTGTAATCTCAGTGGCTCTGAAGGCTGAGACAGGAATATTACAAGTTCAAGGCCAGCCTCAGCAACTTAGCAAGGCCCTAAGCAACTTAGTGAGACCCTGTCTCTAAATAAAAAATAAAAAGAACTGAAGATGTGGCTCAGTGATTAAAAAAATAAGAAGAGGGGGCTGAGGATATAGCTTAGCTGGTAGAGTGCTTGCCTCACATGCACAAGGCCCTGGGTTCAATCCCCAGCACCACAAAATTAAAAAAAAAAAGAGGAAAAGAGACTGGAAGTAGTAAGCTTGATCTATCTCACCATGAAATGCCCTCTGCCATGTTATAATATAGGAAATAGGCCCTCACCAGATGTAGAGCAGACGCTGGCTATGTTAGCTTTCTGTTGCTATGGCAAAATACCTGAGAAAATAAAAATAAAGACATATTTTGGCTCAAATATCAATCCATGGTCAATTGGCCCTGTCACTTTGGGCCTAAGGTGACACAGCACATGATGGTGGGTACATGTGATGGAGGTCTGTTCATCTCTTGACCTCTAAGAAGCAAAAAGAGAGAGGGGAGGGGCCAGAATTCCAAAATCTCCTTCAAGGACACACTCCCA